GAGGTACTGCGGCTGCGCTGGGCGCCCGGCAGCGCTCGCCTGGCCGTGGGGCGTCACAAAGTCTGAGGCGTGACCCCGCAGATTTCAGGGGACAAACGTGTCATCCCTGTCGGGGAGGAGTGTCGGGATCTCCTCTGCGGCCTGCTGTGGGCTGCAGGAACCACCCACCTCTGCCGCAGCAGAAGAGGGGTGGTGAGAAAATACGTTTCTGTTCGCATGTTTTCTCCTTTTCTTGCAGCAACACCCCTTGAAAGCACGACCTTGTCAGGCTAGTGTTTGTCTTATATTGGATGGTAAGATGGCGAGCAGGGGACTGCACTTGCAGGTGGGGAGATGGGGTATGAAGCCAGCTTCTGGCGCGAGCGGGGCTGGGCTGCAGATTGCAGGGGACTGTGATGTAAAAAGTCTCGGGAGTATTGAGAGGCGTGTCTGGCAGAGGGAGGGAAAGTAAAGTCACAATACGTTTCTAGGCAAAGAGCCTCTGAGTATCCTTCCAGTTGCTCCATGTGCTGTCCTGCGAGGGGGAATTCTTAGGTGCTGTGAAAGTAAACAAACTGCATAAGCCTGTAACTTGGTTCCTGCCAGTAATGCCACCACCTGGGTGGTGTTGCAGACCCAACCACGTGGGCAGTGATTGCTGTGTTGTGTGCCGAGGCCTAAGCTACAGCTGCCTGTTGATCAGGAGCCACAGCATGCTCCTTGGAGGTAATAAGTAGGATCGGAGCAGGAGGACTAGGCTACATGGGTACCCATGGTTTTCCGTGGAGGGTGATTGTTAAGAGCCTGCAGTGTAAATATCCAGGGAGGGGTGAGTTAAGTTGCGTGCATTAGGAAGCTGATGGGACCAAATCACCCCTCTTCAGGTGGGTGGAACGTGTAGTGTACTCCTCCTGCACCATCAAGGTCTGAGTCCTGCTGTGTAGAGGTGCATCAAATACCAGAAAAAACAGTTTCTGTGTCAGGATGTGGTATTGCAGAGTTTTCCTATGGAAAATGGGTGTGAGTATGTGTCAGTTTTGCATGGGAAGTGCTTGTAGAGCACTGCAGACTCAAAACTGGAAGGGATCTTTGTACTGAACATAGGGGAGCTTTGGCTGTTTTTCTTCCTGTCACACATGTGATCCCTGTGATTTGGCCTGCAGCAGTGCTGAGATAATCAAGGTTCCTTGCAATCTTCTGTGCTGAGAGGATGTGCTATGCTGTGGTATATGTGCTAGAATGGAGAAAATGGGAGTAGTGTCCCCCTTGCTGTATGTATTAGGGAGTGCACTGTGTAGCCTTGGAGTTGGGGGTGTCCTGATGGGCTGGAGAGAACAAGTAGCAGGAGTGCACAAGAGCAGCTCAAAATGAGGGCGGGCAGCCAGAGACACAGGAGGAAACAGTGCTCTATTGGTTGCGGTGTTCAACCATGTGTACAGATTGAGATGTGGATTGTGTAGATCATACTGAGTTACTTAAGGTAATGAAGGATTAGGGCACAGTGGCAGAGGCAGTGGTTCTACATGTGTTCATAAGAGGGCAAGCTTTGTTGATTTCTGCTTAGGTACGTAACTTTGTACATATGGAGGAAGCTGCAGTGCTGGCATGGAAATGGAAACTTTTTTTTTACCGTCTTGGCCTTTGCAGTAGGAGGCAGGCTGAGCATAGGACCAGAATGGTTGATCACAGCTGAGTAAGAGAGTTACCATGCCCTTGATTTTCACCAAGAAGTATGGGTGTGGGTGTGTAGAGGGAACAGTGTGGTGTCTTGGAATGTCATCTACCAAAGGCTGACTATGGGTCAGCATTCCCCCCTTCCATCAGTAGTTTGCAAATCATGCGTTGTTAGTCAGGGCTCTGGCAAGGATGTTGCAAAGCTACCTGTCACTCAAGCTTTCTGATCAGGACCAGAGTCATTTGCCTTGTCCTTTCTGGTCTTGCCTCATGATGACCGCTAAAGGTCTGAGCATAGTAGGTTGTAGCTCTTCATGGCAGTGCATGGCCATTACGTGTCTGTAACTAACATGATTCACAAACCGTCGTATAATTGCTGAAATTATTACTACAGAGCATAGAACCAAAGTGAGAAATTTCTGCGGTTGCTAAAAATGTCTCCCAGGTCTGACAGAATGAGAGACATATGCACAGTACCTATACCTGAAGGCTAGCAATCGCTGATGAGCAATGTTCTTCTGGCAGGCCGTGTATCTCAGCTCCTCCGTCTTGCCTCAGTCTCCATTGTGGCATTGTAACTTTTTCAGCCATTGTTTATTGTTGCAGTTGTGGTAAAATCTGTCATTCTTAAAAACATACAGTAAAATTCAGTGTCTTACAGAAAAGCATAAAACAACAAAGTTTCTGTATAAGCACCTGAGGATATCTAATGCACACATGGATATGCTGCCATAAGAAATTAAAATCTCTGAACTCTGTGTTGAGTTGATTAGTAGGAGTCTTTATTTCATAAGAGACTGTAATCTTTCTTCTAGGTATCTGGCTTCCTGTTCCCAGTTACAACACCCAGGTAATTAAAAGGGGGTTGTAGTAGTTGTGCCTTAATCAAGCTGATCTCCTCCTTTTAAAACTTCTCTCATGCGTCTTCTATAGCTCCAGTCTGGAATATCATCTATATGAGGTAATAACTTGGTTTGTTGTAGCTCTTAAGCTCATAATGTCTTGTAGCTCTTGTGGCTTTTAGTATCAAACACACAAAGACATATATATATTAAAAAATGTGAATATTCACACATACATTCTGTATGCAGATGCTACAATATATGTCTATGGTCTATTAAGCATTATTACTGTTAAAATAATAATACATCAAGCCTCATCAATAGAAATAGGGTTTCTTTGGTTTGAAGACGAATGTGCTTTTAAACTGGATGAATTTTCTTTTATTTCCTCTGTTTGGGTCTCTTTTCCTTTTGCTTTTAACTTGAGTCACGGTAACTAATGTAAAAAAGCCTGCCCCAAAACCTACCCATACCTCTGCTTGCAGGCCCCATATGACTCTAGATGTCTCCAGCCTCCTTCTGCCACCTGGTTCTGGCTTTCTAGCATGCACGGGGACATCTGTGCACCCTCAGTCCTGTGCCACAGGAGGATGGGACGTATGCCCCAATGCTGCTCAGCCAGAAGCATGGAGCCCTCAAGGGGGTCCAGATTAGAAGAAACACTTTCTGGTCGAGTGAATTATGAACGTAGCTTTGCGTAATATGAAGTGGTTCCCTCAATCACAGTTAAAGCTTTGGAAAAGTACTCTGGAAATAGGATAAATTAATTACCTCAACAGTCTTTTTGGGTTGTTTTGCAGGGTAGTACTTTGAGGACCAACCCCTGGGGATGCTGTTGACTGCACTTGCCTCAGGCTTGCGTGTGTTGTTTCTGCCTGGCATTGCTCTCCTTGCAGTGTGGGGGTGAAAAGGGGAGAGGCAGAGCACTTAGTGCTGCAGCTGGAGAGGCCAGCAAAAGGTCAAGAAGCAGAACCACTGCAGGCAAGAGAGAGCCTGCCTCTTCAGGTGAAGAAGGATCCCTCTTTGCAGTCCGCATCCAGCCAGGCTGCCAGTGTGCACCGCAGGGTCTGTATGCATAACCCACAGCATGGTATGGCCACGTAGTGCGCGAATGAGACTGTGTGTCTGGGAAGCTTCATCTCGTAAGAGCTGTGAGACACCCACGTATTCTCTTAGGTGGAGGACAGCCAAGTGCCCAGCGTTACAGAAGAGGGAGGGAGGAGAGAAGGAGAAAGAAACGTCTGAACTGAAAAATTCTCCCAGTAGTGCTAAGAGCGAGAGCTGCGGTGAGTCCTGGGCCCTTGGGTCCCTGTGGCCCCTCTTGTGCATTCCAGGCCCTCCCCACTGCTCCCCTGGCCCCCTCTCTTTTGCATGTGGCTGTGATTTTTTTTTTTTTTTTTTTCCCCTGTACCTCTCTTTTCTATTCTTGTGTCCTGCTCCCTCTCCCACTTTTTTTTCATCCTCCATCTCTGTCCTGCACCCATTGCTGTTTTTTCCCTTTCCATGTCTTTGTCCTGATCTGCATCCTTCTCTTTTTCCCCACAGTTGCTCTGGCCTGTTCCCTGGCATTCTTTTCTTCTCTGTGCCTGTATGTGCTGCTGCATGTCCCTGCCTTCCTCTCTCACTCTCTCTCCTTCCTTCCCTTTCTCTCCCTTTGTCTTGTTCATTGTTGCTGTTTTTTAAATTCTGTCTCTCGCTGTCCCTGTTCTCCTTTCTGTTCATTGCTTACTCTCTCTGTCCCTTTGTGCTGGTTTTGGCTCTGGTAGAGTTAATTTTCTTCATAGTAGCCAGTCTGGGGCTATGTTTTGGATTTGTGCTGGAAACAGTGTTGATAACACAGAGATGTTTTCATTATTGTGGAGCAGTGCTTACACAGTGTCAAGGCCTTTTCTGCTTCTCACCCCTCCCTGACAGTGAGCAGGCTGGGTGTGCACAAGAATTTGGGAGGGGACACAGCTGGGATAGCTGACCCCAACTGCCCAAAAGGATGTTCCTCACCATATGAAGTCATGCTCAGCATATAAAGCTGGGGGAAGATGAAGGAAGGGGGGACATTCGGAGTGATGGTGTTTGTCTTCCCAAGTCACCATTATGCGTGTTCCTGGGGATGGTTGAACACCTTCCTACCGATGGGAAGTAGAGAATGAATTCCTTGGTTTGCTTTGCTTGCATGTGTGGCTTTTGCTTTACCTATTAAACTGTCTTTATCTCAGCCCTTGAGTTTTCTCACTTTTTTGATTCTCACATCACCCTGTTTTTAACCTCATACTGATTTTAAGTGTTCCGATCGCTCTGGCTCGGAAAGGATGTGTTGTGTTTGGAGCTGACCGGTTTACCTAGAATGCTCCTGGAGCTCGACTGCTGCCCTGTCCCTTACGCTGACGGAATTCCTCTGCTTCCTTCTGTGCTATTTTTTTTTTATACGCTGGAATCTAACGTGGGATTTTTGCTTTGCAGCTGTGTTCTCATCAGGGTGTCGTGATGCTCAGTAGATTCCCTCCAGGCCAGGGTTGCCTGCCGATCCGATCGTTAAGCGTCCTGAGGGGAAGAGGCCAGCCCTGTGCCTGGAGGCTCCCGG